TCCGCGGCGTCTTCATAGGCGAAAAGATGTCGGCGCGTAGTTGTGGTGCTGGTGAAGAGGGAGGTGAAGAGTCGAAGTCTAGCAACTTGGTAGCTGCGCTTCGTGGTGTAGGTGCTCCACGCTGGCCGCCGGTGCGAGGGGTGAACGCACCCGTCGGTTTGTACTTTCTCGGACTGATAAGTGGTGTAGCTTGTACGCGGTATGTCTTGTCGAGAACGCGATGAAGCAGCGGGTCGTTGTTGACGTAGGACTGTTTCGTGGCTGTGGGCTGCATGAACGGCGAGGACTCAAAGCCGCTCATATCTGGAAGGGCTTGCGACTTCCCAGGCGTGACAGGCTCCAGCTTCGGCGTCTTCGTGCCGCCAATGTTGGGTCTGAACTCGGATTTCAATGCCTCGTATGGCGAAGACATGCCAGCGAACTGAGGCTGCTCCTCATATTCGCTCTCTTCCTCGTCCTCATGGTGTTTGCCTCTTGTGGTGGAAGGTGGAGCCCGCGGAGTGCTGTGTCCGAGCGAGGGCGAGTCGAACGCGAGAGTGGATTCGGCGTCTTCTTGTGCAGACAAGGGCCGTGGTGGTGTTGTCGTCGTTCCAGTCACGGTATCCTCGTCCTCAACCGTCTCTTCGTCGTACGTTTGTGACTGTTCAGTCTCATCTTGTACAGCTGATTCGTCTTGCTCGGGGGCTTCGTAGCCCGAGAGAGACACATTGGCGCTGGCCTCGAAGAACTGTTTCCAGAACTTGGAGCCTTCCCAAACAGCTTCCGAGTGTTTTCCGTATTGTTCGACGATCGGCAAGATACCGGTTGTTACGATGCGATGCGCGCGGCTGAAGTTTTGGTCGATTTCTGCTCGTGTCAGTTGCGATAGTGGGGTGCTCGAAGCTGTGTTTACCTTGCAGTGTGAGAGTGATGGACTGCTCTAGCTTCTCCAATTCCTCTGTCAGCGACAGATTGCGCTGCGGCGCCATACTCATGCGCGACATGGTGTAGTTCGCGTCTAGCAATGGTATGCGCGGTCGGTGGCAGACGCGCTTTGTTGTGTTCGGGACGAAGACTCGCGATTCCTTGGCACCCCCGAAGTTCCCCGCACCTTCACCCAGCAATAGCTCTCCCCATCACGCGTCTGTCGTTAACGATGCCTTTCTCAAACTCGACTCATACCTGCTCGAACAAGCGTGCGGAACCGTACCGCTCGACTCGTGTGACTATTGCACCCGCACTAGAATGGCAAGGTTATCAACGTCACTCCCGGACCTCTTAAACCCGATGAGGATGCGTAGGTTTGCGCCATGCAACCGACATGCCCATGGTACGAGAGGGGTTATGCATACGCTACGCCCGTTCCGCATGCCCGGTTAGCCCATGTGAGCTTCCCGTCACTGTCGATGAGGGGATCTGGGGTAATGTATATGCATATGTAGCCGCTGAGGTGCATGCTCGACTGCCTCGTTGTCTCCTTAGTTACCTCTCCTTCTGTTCTTCGTATTGGGCTCTCGACTTGCTATCTCACCAGAACAACAATCATCATGTCGTTTCGTCTACCAACAAGAACATCATGTCAGGCAGTCCCCAGATTCGCAAGTACACCACGAGTGGCTTCCCGAGCACCACGATGGGCGCGTAGCTACGCAGTCACTTCAGACCAGAATAGAACAGCCATCGTAACGGGCTCTGCTCGCGGAATGTGAGACTCATGTACTTCAGGGATGCCCTCAACAGGGTTGACTAACCCGTGACAGCGGCAAGGCCATTGCTCTTCGACTAGCCAATGACGGATACGATGTCTGCATCAACGATGTTGAAGCCAACAAATCTGGCGCCGATGAAGTTGTCAAAGAGATACAAGGCTTGGGGAGAAAGTCTTTCGCGTACACAGCCGATGTATCGAACTTGAGCGAGGTCCAAGGCCTGGTGAAAGCATCTGTCTCGGAATTGGGACCTTTAAACACCATGGTAGCGAATGCTGGTATCGCACAGGTCAAAGCACTTCTCGATCTCACGGAACAAGATCTCAAGCGCATGTTCGAAGTCAATGGTAAGTGTTTTTTTCGTACAGCATGAAAACAGTACACTAACATATTCGCAGTATTCGGCGTCTACAACTGCTACTCCACAGCCGCCAAGCAGATGATCTCGCAAGGCAACGGCGGCAAAATCCTAGGCGCAGCGTCAATCGTGGCATTCAAGCCCTTCGCACTACTATCTCACTACAGCGCATCCAAATGGGCGGTCCGTGGCCTTACTCAGGCCTTTGCCATGGAAATGGCTGAACACAAAATCACCGTGAACGCCTATGCGCCAGGTATCGTCGGCACGGCCATGTGGGATCTGATTGACGAAAAGCTGGGTGAGAAGACAGGAGCAAAGAAGGGCGATACGATTAAGAAGTACACCGACGAACTGATTGCGCTGGGCCGGACTAGTGTACCAGAGGATGTGAGCAGTACGGTGAGCTTCCTGTGCAGTAAGGACAGCGACTATATGACGGGGCAGACTATTGTCATTGACGGCGGTATCATCTTCACTTAATCTATGCTGGTAGTCGACAATAACAGCTCCACTATTTACGTACCTGTATTATCTTCTATTGCTGGCAACTCCTTGATCGTCTTATCCACCCGATGGGTCACTTTATAACGCCAGCATTCCGATGTCAACTAAACCATATAAGTCACCGCATGTTCAGTTTCAATACACCCACCTTCTATCATCTCGAAACCCCACTTTATACCCTTCAGAAGATAAACATCATCATGAGTTTCTGGGCTGGCGGTGACTTCTATGCCTTGTCTGGTATGCGATATCAGCACAAGCCCTGGGGTTACTACGAATTCGGCCCTCACGGTCGTCTTACTGGCCCTATGGATAACCAAGGTAACCCTACTCCACTTGCTGCACGTACAAATCCACGCTCGAGGGTCAGCCATAACGCAAATGAACCTGACGCGCGACTCGCCTCCCTTGTCACAATCGATCAGTCGGTATTTGATAGTTGGCAGGCGCGCATTGTTGATACCGAGGGGTTTCTCGACGGATTGAGTGGTCTTCAGCGGGCAGAAACACAGGTTGCAATAGTTAGGTTGCGAAGCTTACTGGTGGATCTGAGACAGGGGATTGGCCGCAGGGCGGGAGTATATTGATGGCCGGGTCGGGTGTAAGATGTTGCCTAGGTGTGATAGCTAGATGATCTCCATTATACGGTGCGGTCATTTGCACATGCCTACAGATCTGCCAGGCTATTCTGGTTTGTTTGTGTCTGTTTTTATATGTTCTTATTCGTTCCACACTCTTCGGTACGGAGCTGTTTGTGTATGGCAAACTTGCTAGATTTAGTTACTTATGTTCGCTTACATGCACCATCACACCAGATCAACTACCTGCTAGTTGCCTCCGTCACATATATTCAAGCTCTAACGGAACACCCAACACCAATCCATGGCCCCTCCAAGTCTCAGCGGGCTTCTTAGTCGACGTGGAAGCAACCGACCTGAGCGAGATCCAGCGCAGTCACCACATCAGCAGAGCGCGAACGCAGATCAGCCCGCTGGCGAAGATCCAAAATCCTCCGAACTTCGCCGCAAACACATAGAATGGCTTGAGGAGATGGGAGAATTGAGCAGCTTACTAGTCACTGTGGAGAGCGTTCCGATGTCGCAGGACGGATACAAAGCCTTGAGAGATTTCACTGAGCAAATGAGACGTCGTATCGAAGTTGTCAAAGAGGAGATAAATGAAGAGATCGATAGGGGATTTGCTTGATGCAAACGGCACGGTTCACTGCTGTACGACGACGGGATGATGTGTCAAAGTTCCTGGCTTGCTTTTCTCGGTTTGCATCTTGACGACGACTGAATCGTTCGTCAGCAGTCGCTTGATGAGACTGTTGTCTCATTCAGTATACATGTCATCGCTTTCGGTTGCGAGTAATTTCATAAGTAGTAGTTGAGCCCACGAATCAAAGCCACCTTCCTGAGCATCCACCTTCACTTAACTTGACCCTATACAACCTTGACCTCCGACTACGACCGGAAGAATCTGCGCTTCTAGCAATCCTGGCTTGGCTTTGACTGCGACGAATACAGCATCATGGAATCCTCGCTCCCGGCATCATTGGTACCTCAGGAACAGGAAAGAACATTCCACCAAAGCACGCCTGATGGGGAGAAGTTCACTCCCCGGCGCTTATACAGCGTCAAGTCGACGTCACATCCTTCCAGTCGAACAATGATGAAGACAACAAAGTATTCTCGGAAGAAATAACATACCAGTACGGTACTACGACTTATCCTCAACTAACCGTTGTGAGTGGCAAAGTCTCGCATGTTCTCGAAGAGCTTTATTCATATATAGAATGGCTCGAGATAAGAAACATGGAGCTGCGGACTGAGTTGGTGGGAGTACAGAAGGCTGTGGATATGATCGCCAAAAGATTATGTGCCGCCAACGACCCGACTTCTAGTATCTGAGCCTACAGCAGCGAGGACCGCTGATGAGGAACCAGCGTGGGAGGAGATTAAATAGAAGTGTTGTTGCCTATGTGTTCTACCAATGAATCAATATCGGTACATCTTTGGCGCGTGTACAGGATCGTGGTCTCGAAAGTTTGATTGAGATCATAAACTATGTGACCTTTTGTGAAAGCTGTATGACAGCTGCATAACACCCGTACAGCCATGCACTCAGATATCAGTCGATAGATACGGAAAAATACTATGGGCGGTTTAGCAGTCGCTCATACGTCATCTGCGTGATTGTACATACGAGCCCTTACAAACAGCTGCTGCATTTTTGTAATAGCAATGCAGAACAGCGATCGGATCGCGATCTCTCATCAATCGCACCGAATCGTCTGTCAATTGATCAGCTGTCGATCCAAACGCCATTGATGACGACGAAGCCCTTGAAGATAAGTACAGCTCATCCGGGATCTAGAACGCTCACCCCGTTAACAATTCATCATTTACATCCCGAATCGTGTTGCGCCGAAACTCTTGAGCACAATGAGCCCTCGAAAGAACATGAAGAAGGCTGAAGAGCAACACCCTCCAGCACCGTTCGCGGAAGACGACACCGCTTCCCAATGTGATGATGAGTTCCAAGGGTTCAGCCAAGAGGAAATCGCCGACTATTTGGCGACCTACCATGCGATGTTAAACTTGGACCTGAACAATGACGAAGGCGAGCATATAAACGATGACGCTTTCGAAGACTCACAGTCCGACCCAGGCGAATACGGGCAAGAGCAGCGCGATGAGATCCCATATCTGCGTGACAACGGAAACGAGCCTCCATCGCATATCCGGGTAAACTACCGTGCCGCTGTTCAGCCACCGCAACGTCCACCACCTCCGCTCCAGCAGAACCCGGTTCCTGTAGCTTCACCTCCAACGTTCATCTTTCGAGACGCTGCAAACCCCGCTCCTATGCCTTTTGCAAATATGCCGCAAGCTCTCCCTGCATGGCACTTTGATAGGGGAGTTCAAGCAGCGCTCCGACGATATCGTCGCAATCATCGTCCAATTGGCGGCTTCCCCGAAGAATACTACCCAAGAGGCGTCGTGCCAGGTGGATACAGTCGGGGCGTTGAAGGCATGCCCAGCCACTTGTTTCCTCATCGGTCTGTGCCGATCATGCGTCGTTCTGATGGAAGACAAAACGAACGAATGCCGTTTGCACCGCCACGCCCATTGGATAAGGACATGGCTCCTCCCATGGAACGCGACCTCCTGTTTGAAATGTGGGCCGATGCCTTTGTTGAGAGTAGAAGGATGGAGCAGGATATGGCAGCATTCAGGGAAAGGCTTCAGCGGCTGTACAAGTTCTGTTACAGGTCTTAACCTGGGGTGGACGTCCCTGGCTCGTGATTATCGTTCTTCTAAGAATCTCGGTAGATTTCCTGATTGTCATCGCGCTGGCGTAGCCGTTCGCTCATTTGTTTGTCGCTTTCCATGACGAAGCGTTATCATCTACGTGTGTACTTCCTGTAGCAACACAACACTCTTTATCTGTAGCCTGTTAGCAACATCATTACTAAATCCCCATTCATCGTTCATCGCGAGAAGTTCGCTACATAGCAGTTATGTCTTCATACCAAAGATCCAGCGCATCGCCCTACTATCTTCCGCTTGATCCTCATCCCTACCAGCAGCGATATGCGCGAAGCCCATCTTCGCGAGCGCCGATGCATAATCCTTACGGTTGGATGTATATGAACGACATCCTTCACAACGACATGCGAGCGATGATGGAGGACATGCGGACAAGGAGAAAGCAGTGGCAAGAAGAGAGGGAGAAGATGCGCGAGACAATCCACGGAGGCGGCGCGGGCCAATGCAGCGATAGTATGATATGAGGCGTCCCATGATGAGGTCAACAATAGTTGCCTGGAGATGAATAAGGCGTGTGTTGGTTGGGAGGAGTGTATGCGTTGTATACTTGATTGTGCAATTTCGCGATCAATATTGGGCTACCACTAAGCGTTGCAGTGGTAGGATGAGTTTCTTCAATACCTAGCCGAGTTTAGCATGGAGTACATGTGAAAACCCGGGACCAACCGCCGGTCAGATTTCGGTATCACAGATCTGAGTAAAGTTAGCTACCCCTCGAACGCTCTGTATTGACCAGTGAGGGCGTGCACCAGGAGCTTACATAACGGCATGTATCGACATACCTTCATTTGTTGTCCTGTATTACGTATAGGTTGCGGTGTCCTAGGGAGTGGCAAGCCAGGTATATGCTATGCGGTTGCAGATAGCCACGACATGCCTAGAAAGCGGTGATTGACGTATAAGTCATGAGCTCAGCAGTAAAGACAGCAATCGCCAAGACAATCGCGGAGTGCTGAATAGTATAGCACATCCGGGATGGCCGTACACTGGTCGTACAAGCTACGATTGTTCCACGCAAGTAGGAATGTCGGGGAATCGGCCCGTGGTAGCCAGCCGACTGAACAACGGTCAAACCAGGTGGCAAAAAATGACTGTGAGGTAACTGGGAGTAACTTGGCGTTCGTTGGTGAGAGGCCGACATTGATGATTCGCAAAAGAACGATATGATGAATGAAGCGGCAACATGGAATATCGGCGATGCTCTGGTGGCATCTGAGATCATAAATAGCGGACAATTCTTCCGTGTGCCGAACACCAGCCCCTCTCTGCTAGCATGCAGATCGCTTAGATTCTCATCGTGAAACCCTTGACTACGTAAGACAGACGAACAGGGCGTACAATGGTTTTCGTTATGATACCCCACGTCTTGGGTAACGACCGATCGGATATCCCGATAACGTTTGCGCGCGTCAATTTCGGGTTTGCTACATCTCTGCCAGCAATGAGGAAGGTCGCAGCTGATACAAGGAGTGGTGGAAGCCGGCCACATTACGTCTTGTATTCAGCATATGACTTCGAGTCTTTCCAGGCGCTACACAAACCCTGATGCCTCACTGCACCTCGGTACAGTCGTCTGTCGAGGAGCGCGTTCGTTCTTGTGCGATCGACGCGGTCGCGTTGTTTGCTCAACTTTGTTAGCGGTCGGCTAGACAAAAAGACGTGGCTGAGCTTTTGCCTCCGCCCAGAAGCTTGGGTGAATGAAGAATAGCTTCCGATGATAAACCGCTCCCGCAATGACAACACAATGGACCTTATTGGTAGACCCTACGCAGTCTATCGTCGCCCTAGGTCAGGACTCACGATGCGAAACGTTTGAGTGGCACTGGTGACCCTGCCCCAACTCAACTCCCGCAATGTGAACTTATCCTGCTTTTGGCACACGTGGACCATTCTGTCTGCCTCAGGCGTGCTCTGTCTATGGTATAAAATCAGCTCATGCTCATCCGTCATCTTCTCACAAAATTCCGCATATCGTTATACCCTTACTTGTCGCTTGGTTTTGCAACAAGCATTGGGTCTATCAATCGCGATAGTATCGAAGCAATGTACGAAATGGCCCCGTTCAAACGGCATAAATGAAATGGCATGCGGGAATACCAATGGCCAGCTTTCGATCTAGGAGGTTTTGGCGGCCATGGTGGTATGGGTGGTATAGGAGGGTATCCAGTGTGGGATACCGGCTTTGATACTCCATACTACGATGTGCCGGGCTCAGTCGAACAGGCGACGCGATCACATGTTGAGGCCCAAACCGAGTTTGAGAAGGCAAAGGAAAAGTACGAGGAAGCTAAGAAGAAGTTCGAGGAATGCGAGAAGAAAGGTAAGTGACCACCCATATTCATGTAAAGCATGCGCTGACTTTGCTCCTGTGCCAGTGGAGAAAGCCGAGCAAATGCTGAACTTGGCGAAGCATCGTGCTGGAGGTTGGTGGAATTGATGCAGTCATTGTTGAGTGGCTGCTGGCAGCACAACGTGGGTGGGGGCGAGCAAAGGCCCGTTGGTATCTCAAGCTCCGGGGATAGACGACCCGTGTAACTTTGATTTCGCGTTGTTCCGTTTGGTGGAGATCTTGTTTTAGCCTGTAAGGAGCTGCAAATGCATCGTCGGCCAGGAAGAGATGAATGCATGCGCCGTAAGCTAAGTGAACTTGAGCTAGAGGCAGAAGAAGGCGTCCCAGCCCCACATGTATGTGTAATTACATCATACAGTGTGTTGTATAGAGACCGGTGGCCACACGATCCTAGCTAAGGTATACGCTATGGCGTCTCCGTTTGGCGCGGCCGATCGTGGTGTGGGTGCTATCGTAGCAGGTATGTATTACGTTTGGACATCGCTTTCGTTTCGTTGTTCGTCGTTCGTCATCTGGCTGATACTCTGTGTTGGTCAAATCAAAATCTTGGACATATAATTGCTGCGTCTAGGCCTCCAGTATGAGTGCAACCTGGGCAGTTATCGCACCAAAGCGCCACGATACCTCTCAACATGACCGCTCATGCTGCTTCAACTGCTCGCGAAGCTCAGGCTTCCAAGGCCACAGGTGTACCTCGTGCACGACCCGCTCACGAAGAAGTCGAGTATGATTCTGAAGCTGGAACTTTGGTCGGGAGTGAGTCTGATGATGACGGTGATGCTCGTCCAGCACCGGCCAACAATCAGCCTGCAGCTCGTCACGAAGCTGCCCGGCGGCTTCCAGCTAACGAGCCCTGCACGTCTTCTCAGGGCGACATAAACGCAGCGGTCCGCGCGCAAAAGGCGAAAGAGATGGAGAACGCGGTTCCTCGGTCCGAGTCGCTCATTGGAGGCGCTGGGCGAAAGGCATGATGAGAGAACTGCTGGCCCGCCTGCAGTGACGGCACGAGCCTGATCGGTTGTCAATTGAGGAGAAGAACTCTATGTGACAAAGTCGCAGGTACGATGCTCGCAATGACTGGCGAAAGCGAAAGATGGCTAGGGGAGCCTCTGAGCGTCCACACACACGCGTGCGCGTATCCACGTAGAATCGTCGCGCTAGGATGTAAGTAGCTTAGAACAATCACACCGCCTGGTAATTCTGCCGCTTATCCCCACGCGATCGCGTCACATCTCCTACTTTCCTGTGCTTGTGCTTCACCATCATCTTCAACGTATTACATCTTGTACAGGACTTTGTTCTATCATGGAGTCGGCTGCGAGGCCACCCCCTCCGCCTGCTTTTAGATCCCGGGTGAAGCGGTATACGGAAGACACGCGGAATGTAGCGGCATGGCTTCGCCAGACAGCTTTAAACTGCGGATATGCTACCAGCGCCGTACCACCGAGTCTAGCATCTGGTAGCGGAAATAAAGCCGAATACCTCATCAAAACATCCGATCTCATTCCCATGGCTGAGACCATAGCGGCGCACAAACCCCAGCTTACGATTCCGCAAGATGTGATAGCAACAATCTCTCGAGCTATCAAACTGCGCCGCAGAGAAACCCGATACGTCATGTCAGTTGGCGCCAAAAGCAAACGCAGCCAGCTCGAAGATAGCACACATACCCATTTCACAGAGAGGATTCTAGGCAAGGTTCGAGACGTGCTGCGACCAACAGGGCAACCTTTTGAACCTGAACCCCAGGCAGATACCATGCCATCACTCAGTGACAGACTTGCTTCGTTGTCGATGCCTGACACCGACGAATCCGACACTATCAGTGAGGAGCCATTCAACAACCTCACACCCGTATACATCGACTTCGACGATATGGAGGTTCAAAATGAATTCTTCCTGGCCATTGAAATCTTTATGGAGGACGTGTTTTATGTCCGTCAATAGATTGAATCCATATGGACTTCGTACAAGCATGGCATGCTGGAGAACAACGTCTGCTCGTTGTTGACGAACACAGCAATAGATGTCGTCCGTCTAGCTGAAAGACAGTTCGCCTTGTTGCTCAGACGACCTAAACGATTCCCCGCGGACGTGTTTCCAGTTTGGAAGCTGCCAGCCTTACTTTACTACAAGTGGGCTCCTGGGCTCGAAGAGAAATTCACCTATGAGGAATTTGCAGATATGAGGCCGTTCAAGCATGACCGCAGGGGCGTTGAGGACGAGAGCGATTTTGCTTTATTCTCCGTCTTTTCTGGTCTCAAGTGGTACCTCTACGCTACTCCTGAAGGAGGTATAAACAAGCTTGACCCTGCCAGATTCAGACGACCCGGGGACAATTGGCACCCGCATCTGCCAAGAGTCGCAGAGATGTGTCATCTGATGCAGTGGCAAACTCATATCAAGCAGCCTTCCATATCAAAAGGCAAATATGACAGTATTGCTGAAGACGAAATAGTGAGAGGCGTTCGGCACATGGTGGAGCACAAAGAGATTCCAATCTGGGTACAGTTTGCCGCCCAAATTTATATCGACATTCAAAATGTACTAGGCGATCGTCTAGATGCGCCACTAGACGAACTCAAGATGTGGGTGCAGGTGTCCCACCAACGATTGAACGAGTTCCTCTGTGACAATGATGAGATCGACATGTGGAACTGGACATCGGAGAAGCCATTTACCAAGCCTATTAAGACTCTTGAGCAGCATCACGTCACCGCCGAGGCTTGGGTTAGGGGAGACGTGTTCACGGCGACTTTGCAGGAAATACACCTCCCTCATCTATCAAGATACAAGCGTGAGAATCATGCTTTGTTGCGCCGTCATCCATTAGGTTGCGGTGTTCTTCAGTACAGCATGTTTCAGGATCTCCACGAATACGGTCTCCAGTTTCAAACGGCTACGGACTGCATTCGGCCCATGATATATCTTTATGCAGCGACTCGGTTACTGTCTGAAGATAGCCCTGCATGGCCCGACATGGAATTGCTCATTCTCCGCCAAAATCCTGAGCGACTGTTCTTTGGTAAGAACAGACCGACAGACTACCGAGAGGCCCTTACTTTCTTTGAATGGGTCTGTGACATGTCTCCCATGTTGCGTTCAAAAGAGGCGACAAAAGACTCTAGGGAACAACACGACTCCGAGCGAGTTCGGCGTATTGTGGACCCTAGTATCTTGAAGGATGTGTTTCTGAACAGGTTCAACCATCCAGTGAGCAGCGACAATGAAGTTGACTCGATGGTGTCAAAGTGGATTGAACTAGTTCGGAGTGAAGAGGGCATGACTCAGTTGCTTCGTCAACTCAACCTCGACCCATCGGCAGATGCCAAAACCATCAAAGTACTCCAAGCGAGAGCCCAAAACAACAGATCGGACGCGATACCGAGCCAACTCAGTCAGTGTATGGGGGCTGATGCTATCGATCTGCATTTTGATTGGCTAGCCCTACACAACAAGTGCGCGAAAATGTGGGCTCGTATATACTCCAGGCTAGTCGAGTCAAAGAGAAGTTTGTACTTTGACCCGAACGAATTCCGCAAGGCCCATCGCCCACAGGTGTGTCTCGTTGCACAAATACTGCTCGAAGCGCTTGAAGCATTCGACTATACCCAGGATACAACGCTCCAAGGTCGGTGGTTCACATACGGATATGGTCTTCGAACTGTAGCCGCTGTTCTGGATGAGATGATAAAGACTCCTGTAACCCCCACTCGATGGGGTACGATCCTGGAGGGCGATTTGTGTATTTGTACCACAATGGTTCAGGCTTCTGCTACTGCCCAAAAAGTGTATTACCCAGGCTGCTTCTACGAGGAATCTGGCCCAGGAAACATGAAAATGCTTTATCGAGGCTGGGATAAGATGACACTCAAAAGTCTTAACTCGATAAAGTTAGCCAAGTATTCTAGGGCCAACCTGGGGAAGGTTCTTCAGGAGAGACATCCCGAGCTGCACAAGCAACGTGACGGAAGCGAGAGGATGCCGAGGCAGACCGCGCAGAATTCCACAGAGAAGAAGCCGAAGAATCAGAAGAAGAAAGGTAAAGGCACGACGTTTTGATCGGACTTACATCACATAACCTATCATCATACATAGCTCTTACTTCTAATGTAATCACTACTTTCAGTGCTTATAGAAGCTTCTGGATAGCAACGATGATTTCTTTACTGGATGGTTCACCTTTGGGTAGATGCGATGAAGGGATGCAGAGATAGGTGAGAGGGCGCATCTCGATGACGTCATCGCCGTTCCGTCTTGGCAACATTACCTAGGTAGCTTCTCGCGTCACGGCGCGTCCTCTCAGCTCAACATCTTATGCCCACACTGCCATCTTCTGGCCACATTATCGCTTATGCATCAGTTCCAACGCAAGCTTAGACTCTTGTCATCTCGGCCGACATTGACTCCCCAATCGATCCCCGTCGCGTCGCGTAGCCCGTCGCGGCCGCCTTTCTCAAGAGAAACCCATCACATTTCCCTGACATTCGGATTCTACGCGTGCGACAACCGCTTCTCAATACTATGCATCTTCCATAGGAAATACCGATCATGCCAACATATTGGCTCGTAGGGGGATTGAAGCCTCTTTAGTAACCATGTAGCGCTCTCCTTGCCCTGCCCATTGCCGATGTCGAGCTATCCGTCATGTCAAGGCGGCAGCTGTATCTTTCATGTTGCGGGATCTTAAACACCTAAGAATGTGATAGTGCCTCAACACAGCCGACTCACGTTTTCAACTGTCTAAAGACATTATGCCGATCGCTGGCGCCCGATATGCCGAAAGACACTCGGAGTTTTGAACGAACGCCGAAGTCGAGGCGTGCCACAACAAGTTCTCCTCTTTACCTAACCGATGGTTCAACCACCACTCATTCCTTCGGCAGTACTAGTGCCTCGATCTTGGCAGTCGTCGTTGCTCCAATGATAGAAGCGGGGGACGGCTTGGCACATGCAAAGACACTATCTCGCAGCGATAAGATACACCACAGCATGTAACCCCACCTTTCCGCGAGGTGGGTTAACGACGCATCAAGGCTACGACTTCCTATACAGCAATAGTCTCATGCGCCGCGGATACGAAGCGTCCCTAATGTTACAGTCGTTTTCCCACAAGATTTGGATGTTTCAACTCGATAAAACACTGGACAGGACCCTGAAGATATTGGATAGCAGCAAGGCATATGCTCAATGGTCGCGAACAAGATGATAACAGATACCAGACATAGGGTCAAGTTCGAGACAGAGTGTACGAAGATTCGTACTGCAAGCCGCGGTGATGTCCGTGCTGCGCCCTTCCCCGGAAGTGGTCAGGCTGTGTGGAGACTGTTCCTTGCAGGCCCTTACTACCTCTGGTTTTCTTCTTATCGTTGTTCGAGCCTGAGATACCATCTTTCCTCGTTGTCATCGACGCAAGTCACTAGAGCCTTATCTGGGACAGCAGCGCTCGCGACGGTGTATAAAGTGTACGAGAAGTGCCGGGAATTGTCCACAGCATCCTTTGCTAGTACCGTTTATCAAGATGCGTTGGTCAGCTCTGATATCGACCGTTCTTCTCGGTATAGCGAGCTCTTCCACCATCCCCTTCCTTGGATATGATAGAAGAGTAGCGCGAGACTACTTTGACAAACGCACCGACAATGGAACGGCATACTCTTGCTTCACTGAGGCTGCTACCACCACAGTAGCGCCAAAGACTAATCCATGGGCTCCTTTGACACCGGATGAGAATCTCGCAGTCTGGACATTGCTCCATTCGCCATCCTCTGGTCTCAATCTTACTGACCCCACAAAAGCTGTGCTTACGGACAACTACGTGTACGTCACGCTTTGTATTTTTGCTCGAGCAGAAGAGAATGCAGCTGACGTGTACCAGATTCTGGCTTGATGCGTTGCACACTAACAAGAGCGAGGTGCTGAAGTACATGGACGAGGGTGCAGCAATGCCCGCAAAATACGCCCGAGCGATCATCTTCCAAGGCGGGAAAGCTGAGCCAGATTCTCAAGAGTACATGATCGGCCCACTCCCCGTATCTGCAGAAACCACGATCGAGAAGCTGGATTATATCTACAACGGCGGCTCCGGTGGTTGCGTGCCATACAACGCCAGGTACTTCGACGGCCCAAGGACGACGGCAACCGAGCCGCTCATCACATCCATCATGTCGAACATCTCAGACATTACAGCAGCTCTCTTCCAAGGAGGTGTTTACTTCGGATCGGCCGACGAAAGAACCAATCTCTCCTCGACGACTGGCACACCTATCTCTTTCGATGGTTCTAGCGCTTTTCGTAACATCATGTTCCGCTTTCCAGGCCCAGCAACGTACATGACACCGCTAGACTTCTATCTCCTAATCGACTGTAGCGGCACTGATCCTTCTCTCTACTCACTGAAAGGATTCGTCACAAATGAAAAGTTTTACCCTACCATCGCAGACCTACGGAGTGCATTCGAGTCAGGCGATCTTGCTATGGAGTTCGACCAAACTCTCGACGCGAGTTGGGCGCTAGTCGACTACAAGCCTGAGCTAGGCGTGCGGGATCTGGAGGAGCGGCTCGCGCCAAGCACTCTGGAAATCGGAGGAAAGCGATACAAGCTTGACAAAGAGAACCAGTATGTTGAGTACATGGGTTGGTCATTTTACATGTCGTTCTCGAGGACGCTTGGTATCATGTTCTATGACATCAAGTTCAAAGGTGAACGTATTCTCTACGAGTTGTCGATGCAAGAGGCTACTGCGCAATACGGTGAGTATTTTTTTCTGTCTCTTACTGGACAAGAGCTAATGATTACAAGGTGGCAACCAACCGAAGGCTGCCAATACAGTATACCACGATACCTACTATCAGCTTGGTACTGAGATGGGCAGCTTGGTAGAAGGCTTCGACTGCCCGTGGGGATCGACGTTCTGGAATATCACCTACCCATCTTACAACAAAACGGCAGTCAACAAAAACGCAATCTGCATCTTCGAAACCGACATGAACTTCCCGCTCTCACGTCATCGCACGGGCGCATCCAACGAATACGGTTTCAGCAACCTCGGTAGCGTCAAGGGCGCTGGACTAATCGTTCGCGCAATTGCCACAGTTGGCAACTATGACTACATGTTTGACTACTCCTTCCATATGGACGGCTCGCTAGAAGTCATTGTGCGAGCATCTGGGTATCTTCAATCTAGCTTCTACTATCCGGCGCAAGCAAAATTCGGACCGAGAATCCAACAAGCCACTCAAGGCTCGCTTCACGATCATATCGTTACGTACAAGGCAGACTTCGACATCGTCGGTGCGGCTAACTCGCTTCAAGTTTCGGAGTTGGTAGTTGTGAACCAAACCCAACCATGGTTCCCTGAGCTTGGCGAATTTGAACAGATGGAGATGAACATTACATACATGGCCGAAGAGCAGCAGTTTAACTGGGCACCCAACAACCAGGCTATGTACGTCGTATTGAACCCGAACGCTACCAATGCCTGGGGTGAGAAACGCGGCTATCGCCTCGTACCCGGCCGTTCCGATATTCACCTCTCAACCCTCAACTCTCCATGGTCACGCAAGAACTCCGAATTCGCCAAGTCACATCTAGCCGTTACGAGGCAGCACGACAACGAGCCATTTGCCAACAGCGTTCAGAACATCAACCTCCCCTTCACGCCGCAGCAAGACTTCAGCAAGTTCTTTGACGGCGAACCCATCGAAGGTGAAGATCTTGTCATTTGGTTCAACCTTGGCATGCATCACTACACTAGGAGCGAAGATGTACCTGTGACCTTGTATACGGAGGCTTATTCCAGTATTGTATTCGCTCCGCAAAACTTCTTCGACAGGGCGCAGGATGGCGATCTACTTAATCGCAGGTGGATTGAGGTTGACGATGATGGAAACATGACATTCGAGACCTATGGTGTGGGGCTAGATGTTTGCCCAGTTGTTTTGGACGAGCCTACAGCACTGCTAGGAGGTGGTGGTGAGCTGTAACAAGCGACGATCGGCCAAACCAAGACACATCAAAGTATTAACACTGTCAATTGACAACGCGTCGCGATCTGGTGACGGCCACCGCTTCACTCCGTCATACGTGGCATTCCATCACCCCAGCATTCTCTTCATCGAAAGTGATTGTTCAATACCATGTGATACGTGAACACACAATGGCCAAGATCAGACTTGACGCCATAGAAGTGGCATATGTTTTTTTCTTCTCTTGCTACAACACCACACCTCTTTCGTCCATAATGCGCCTTCCGATTGCGACCACTATCGCCGCTGCAGGCTTCCTCGTTGCTTCTCGGCCCGGCTCTTCAGACCGCGCAACAAACGCCGCGTCGTCGCCAGCCTCTACCGCGACTCTAGTGGCTCGCCAAGATGACACAAAGCCGCCACCCTTAGTTACGTCCATCACCTTCCTTACCTCGATAGTCTTCGTAACTGCCGAACCGTCCAGTACGGTTATTGTGCCATCGCGTAGTCCAGATACCTCCTCTGAGCCGCCACCACCCCCACCACCTCCGTCAACTACCACGGAAACGCCGATAAGTAGCGAACGACCGCCTACAACGACCAGCGCAACGACTACCACTTCTCCAACTTCCACTGGGACTAGAACAACATCCACAGAAGCATCCGCAACATCTGCCACCACATCTCCAACCCAAACCCCTCACCCAGATGTCGATCCCGGCCCCTGGCTAAGCAGAGGTAAAATTACCGGAATAGTCGTGGGCTCCGTTTTCGGCTTCATCCTCCTCGGCTTGACAATCTACGCACTTTTCGCAGCATACCGCGGCATCAACGTCTGCGATTGTTTTGGTGGCTGTTTCGGCAAACGCGACAACGACGATGACGCAGAAAAGGGCCCATCTCGCTTACCTTCGCGGTCAGAGGACACGTATCCACATCCGGATGCTCTTCAGCCTGTAGGTGGCTATAGAGCTTATCGTCCTGCGCGACCGGTGAGTTATGAGCCACAGCAGCAGCAGCAGCAGCAGCAGCAGCAGGTTCCGCTTCCAATGCAGGAGAGGACAGCAGGGAGACTGCAGAAGGGGTATCGAGGTGTTTAGAGTAGACGGCTCTGGTTGATGATCATTATAAGATAATTAAAAAGGCGATAGCTTATCAACTACTGCTGTAGGCTCGACGGAAGTGACAAGAGAATCGTTGATTTCATTAACATACAGCAAGATTTATAACTCATCAAATCTCCCACGGCCAGCAAGAAAGACACATTTTCCCATGTACCGTACGCTAATTCTCCGCCATCTTCACAGTCTGCCTCGAGAAACTGTCCACCCTTGGCACGTTCGGCCTACTGCGGCGCTTCGTCTCCATCATGCGCTGGCGTATCTCTTCCGAGAGCCAACCCCGACAAGCCGAAACAGAAGGCTGAACAATGCGTTCCTCGAACGTCTCAGCGTCTTGTACTACAAGGACCATGTAGTTGTTGGCCCATTGGTGCACTCCCGGTATGAGCTTGCCGCGTATCCTGTTGAGCTGTTCCTCAGCATACGAGACTGTGCGCTTCTTCATCTCCGCGATCCCCTCGTCCAGGTATTGTTGGTTCTTCCTGTCTTCGCTCCAGCTCTCGACGGCGGGCCGCAGCTCGGGGTATCCGATAGCCTTCCAGATGCCCTTGGAGAAGTCTGGGCAGCCCAACAGTCTTTGCTCGAGCTCGTAGAGTAGGCGTACCTCTTCGATGAGGCCTTCGTCGATCATTTCGTCTACTCGTTTGTCGAGCCGGGGCTTCAAGTGTGAGAGCTTGGAGTCGAGGAAGATGACTGACAGGTCGCATTGCTGGACGAACGGGTGCGAGAGGAGTGGCTCGGTCAACGAGATGGACCCACCGACCAGCAGAGGGGTCTTGCCGTCGTCGTGTATTTGCTGGATGCTTGAGATAGCGTTGTCGACAAAGGTGGTTGGTTCCTGGTCGGGCTGCAGATAGTCTATCAGGTGGTGCTTGACACCATCCATTTCCTTCGTAGTAGGCTGCGCCGTTATGATTCCTCCACACTGATAGATCTGAAGACTGTCCACGGAGATGACCTCGCCATTGATGGCTTTGGCAAGTGCGATACCAAGCTTGGTCTTTCCAACGCCGGTCGGACCAATGATCGCGATGATAGATTGGCGTCCCATTGTGCAGTAATTTAAACGAAGAGAAAACAGATGCAATATGTGTCGTAGACTTCGCAGAAAGAGAAGATGTGATAGTTGTGCGTGAGTTAGAGAGACAGTGCGCCACAGGGTATCTTTATGAACAGAAGAGTGGCTGCTCACAAAGTCCAGGCTTCCTTCGTCGACCAACTTTCTCCAGAATACACTTTAGCTATGACATGGTCGATTCCCTGAAACCTCATTCTTCCTGCTCGCCCATAAGCCGGTGCGACAAGCCGGCGCAAAATGATGTAACAGATCCGGCCAGGAAGATGCATCCGCAAAGGATTGTAGACTCATGTAACCTACAGCATTTCCGGTGGCTCGTATTCAGGGCAAAGTTAAAACTCATGTCGCTTGAGCTTAGATAGACTGCTAAGTCTTAGCGACATCTCAACGAAGAAGACATTGGAGAGTGCGCCATTGACTCCGACTAAGGCGCCCAGGACTTCGTTTGAGCTTGTCATTGAAGTTGTACCTAGGTACTAGATTCTACGTCACTTACGGGGCCGAGAAGACACAAGGCATGTGAAACCGTCTTAGCGAATGCGAAGAGTGTTGTGTGCCTAGGTACCCGGACTAAACAGATAATAACCCGAGTGGTCCAAGTGTCGGACACAGCACTAGTCCTTTGATTGGCCGAAACCTAGGCTACCTGGGTACCGGGCCATTATTCTTTTGGCCCGAGTACATACATAGTAACACTCCACCTCGTGGCTCTGAAACAAGATACAAGCTACTGTTAGCGAGATGTAGTTTAGGCTGAACGTGAAAGCTTACAACAACCATATGGCATAACAGGCTTCGTGATAGTCTGCTGAGTCAACTCCGATGTATAAATCGCGGTGATGAGCTCCAATAGACGATCTAACAACTCGATCATCTGAAGGCTCGGCCACTACTCCCGTTATTCTACGCAGAACTTCGCAAGCTGAATATCGTCAACCATGGGCTCAAAGCAAGTACACACAAAGCCACCCAATGGAACGAGTTCGAAACCATTCACATTGTGTGTCTTCTGTGGTACGTCCCCACGAGTACCCAGGAGTGAATGTAACTGATAAATGACAGGGTCTAGTGAGGGGAAAGATCCCAGGTTTCGCGATGCTGCCAAAGCGCTAGCGGATATCATGGCGAAGAGATCGTGGTCGTTAGTGTACGGAGGCGGGACTATGGGGTTGATGGGCGTACTCGCTGGAAACGTAGTGGCATCGCAGGGATCCAACGCGGTACATGGTATCATTCCACGTGCTCTTCTACTGGGCGGGCCGCCGCCCCCGCCGGAGGATTTCGGGCGTACAACGGTCGTGGACAACATGCATGAGCGTAAGCGGATGATGGCTGAGGAGGCTGATGCCTTTGTGGCGCTGCCTGGTGGTTTCGGGATGCTCGAGGAGTTACTCGAGATGACGACATGGAGCCAGTTAGGCATTCACGCGAAGCCGGTGGTTGTACTCAACGCATCCGGCTTCTTTGACGGTGTGTTTGAGTGGATGCAAACTGCGATCAAGTCTGGCTTCATCCCTGACGTTCAAGGGGGCTTGATTGGGCAGGCTCGTACAGTCGAGGAGCTGGAGAGGTTAGTCACTGCTAGAGAGCCTGTTGAGGGGCGATACACGTTCCTTACATGGACAGGAAATAAAGATGAGGAGACTGCAGAGGGTGAAGACTTGGGGAGCCGAAATGATCTGGTCTCTCCGTAAGCGTCCAATCAATGCTTGTAGCTTCATGACATATTCACCATCTTACATTGTCTTCTTGAATAACCTTGATCAATGAGTAGTGCGAGATAAACGTTTTGCCTATTGTCCGAATCTTACGAATGAGGCATGCAGAAGTATTCCTAGTCTTCGCTTCGCTCATGGCAACCGTGGCCAACTCCAAAGCCATGAAACTGATACAACGAAATACTTTCGTCAACGCGCAACCTTACCTCTCAAGCCATGCCTACTCATCAAACTCACATCACTCCTTGCTCTTCCCCTCACCCAAGTCAACCTCCACAAAATCCAGCTTCCCATTCTCCGTCCTCACACCACTATATTCCACAAGCAGTTCTGAAGATATGCGCGCACTGCGACTATCGCCTAAATCCCCGCCCTGGTGGCCGTCGCCCACATAAGGTGAGGGGTCATTGTCTTGGAGCTCGATCTTACCTTCAGATTCGATATCCTTGCTTTGTTTAGCCGCACGAGATTTGCGCCATTTGAGAATAAAGAAGAAAGCTGTGTAGATTACGACTCTACTCGTCGCTGCACCAGCGACAGCCAGACCGATAATAAGGGGACGGTGGTCGGAAATGAGGATTGGCGAGGACGGTGAGCTACGCCTGGTCTTGGCGTTCCGGGGCCAGGTGAAGCCGGGTAGGGTTGACATGGTCGCTGTGGGTATGGACTTCGTGACAGGTTGGTGATGTGTATGCAATGTTAGTGAGGACGGTATAAAGAAAACAATACCGAGTGGAACGCTTTAATTTCCTTGCCCTGCTAATGAAATGACGAGACTGAGAAACTTCGTCGTAATTTCGGATGAAGTAGTTGTAGTGTTGTGTACTTGGATAGTGATGTACGTGAATAATGTCGTGAATCGCGTTCCTCAACATACCGTACTTTAGACCCAGTATACCCATTGTGCAAGTACATTACGAAGACGCTCGTTGCTTCGTAGTTGCACCTCTGAGTACACCGCAGCCTTGCGCAATGCGACGTCTTGTGCACTAACGTCTTGTGGAATATGATGCAGCGTGTATCTCCAAGGCGCGAAGCAGCTAGTGCTGCAGCCTGCAAAAGACGTAGTACTCGATGCGGCAAAGGTCCAAGGAAAAGCAATTCCGCAGATCGTCAGCCTCCAGCTTTCTTGTTTGAGCCAAATTCAATCGAGCAACCAGTCGTCATTGCATCGCCCTTGGAGCGAAGTGGTGTGCGTTCCGCATCTCCAGGAACTTTCTCCGTGTTTGTTCTCGTTGCTAAGATCAACCAGGTGTCCCCGGGGGCGCGCCGAAAAACATAACGGGAGGCATGTGTCGCGATGCAGATCACCCGGCCAAATGCATGTCGGGGATCATTCCGTGGCTGTGCCGCAAGCCAGGCGGCCAGCCACTGTGTCAGTTGAACGGCGCGTTGCAGGTACATTTCCCACCTGTTAATTTCTCGAATGAGCCGGTGCATCTCGATCATGCTGTCAGCCTTCTATGGCGCGCGGTGAAGGATTGTGTACGACCAATTCGTCGCATCTCCTGTCTGATCAGCAGTGAGGAGGTGATCTGGAATGGGATGAATAAAGAATGCGCATGCGAGAATGCGCAGTGCATACGGGACGCCGCTTACCGCAGCCGCGTTATTGGGTTTCGGAAAACGCCACCGAATTGGACGCGCGGCTTTACGTCATGAGCAAGAACCTCGCATCATGCAACTCTGCTGCGATGCTGGACTCTAACAATAGAACACGATCGAATCAGCAGCCACAGAAACAGACGTTGTCAGGAAATCTACAGCCGGTATGCCATGATAATGAATGGAAGAAATGTCACGGCGATGAGTGGCAGAACATGAAAGAGGCAGCGCAGCAAGAAAGTAGTTTTGGGGTATTGTGAATGTTTCATTGAAATGACTTATTATAAGTATGCCGATTGGTAAATCCCAAGTGTCGCTGTGAATCATTCTGGTCCCACACCTGTCTCACGAGAGACGAAGCGATGTCAGCTCATGGCTGATGTCGCTAACCGATCGAAGAAACTGTCAAAGGAGACGTTTTATGACGATGTTGGAAGGAAGCGGTTGAGTGTCGACCCGCTTACAAGAGACCGGCAAGAGCAAGGAGACCACCAGCAACAGCGCCCATGGCGGGGACGTTGTTGGAGTCGGCGGCACCGGTACCGGTGGCGCTCTCAGCAGCGCTGGCGGCAGAGCTGGCAGCAGATCCGAGCGACTGGGTGGCAGAGGAGGCCGCGCTGGCGGCAGAGCCAGTAAGGCTTGAGGCGTCGGAGGCGATGCTGCTGATGGCAGAGTCGGCAGCGCTCTGGATGGAAGAAGCGCCGGAGGCAGCGGCAGAGCCACCCGCGCTGGTGATGGAGGCAGCGGCGGAAGTGATCTCAGAGCCGATGGATGAGGCGGCGGAGGCGATGTCAGAAGGGACACCGCCTACGGCAGAGGTGATCTGGGAGATGATGGAGTCGACCTGGGCGTTGGCAACGCCGGCGGCGATGACAGCGGTGGCAATGGTGGAGAAACGCATGTTGATGGTTTGGGTGGGTGAGTTGGTTGGGTGTGTGGGTAAAGAGTTGAGTGTAGTTGGTTTGATGTGGAGATTGTTTGAGCTGTAGATGGAGAGTAGAAGGCAGGGCGAGAGAAGAGCTCTTATACTAGGTGAGTGCATAAGAACTAGCGCGCTTGCATGTCGCCATAGCCCCAGCGGCCAGCAACAAACACAGCGGCCACCGCCCTTGCTCGCTTGCGCCTCCTCCACATTTTTTTAGCCACGTAATGCACGCAATTAACTGGACAGTGAGGCAAGTGACGCCACATGGAAGCGCACTGTCCTTGTCCTTGCCCAGATGCGGCAAGCCATCACAGCCCATCCCAGTCATCGGCAGCCGTTCCTGGTTTTTCGAGTGAAGCTTGATCCGGGGCCGCCTCTGGTTGTTTGGGCCTATGACGTCTGTTGACGAACATTCGTCCGCCGTGTAACGAGATTGACTGGGTCGAGAGGCGTTGCATCCAAGCCACAGCCTGCGACGCCCCGTCTCATCGACAGCGGAGCCATGCATGTCTCTGCAGCTGCCCATGGGACGATTCGGGCTATGGCAAGGCGTGCCAGGTGCTATTTCCAGCGTTACAGTGCTCAATTCACTCTGAAACAAGTCAGCACTTGTCGTCTGGCCAAGCTTTCTTACTGCTACAGCGACGCGAGTGCGGCGTCGAGCTTGATGACCCTGAAACGCAGGTCCTCACCGGCGTGCGACCAGCGACCGCTGTAGCAACCAGCACCACGCTTCCTCTGGCTCGACATCTGCGTACCGCGACGCTGCTGCCAACTCCCCTCTCACGGCAATTGCACCAAGGTAAGTGTATACGCGGGTCCACCTGCTGTCAAGGCAACCAGCCACGCGTTGTTTGGGGGCCCGGAGTTCGGTGCATGTTCTGTGTACCAAGAAGATGATGAGACGTGCATGTCGTCATTCCCGGCTTCGTCGTGGACGCCGAGGCAAGCAGTTTCTGAGACGCAAACCGCTCCACCGAAACCGGGCGAACGTCAATAAAAAGACCGAGCTCGAAACCATGACGGAGAGCAATCTTGGGTGAATTGTGGCTCGACAGACGTTAACTGGCGACGTTGACCAAGATTGGTGGTGTACCTGGCAGCCTTACTCGGGTCCCCTGTCGCGGATGCCGCCAAGCCCGATTTTGCCGTGATTCTAGCCCACAGGATTCTCTCCCGTGCCATGGCATTCTGCACCAACATCTTGATCTCTGATCGTCCTCTCCTATTCCCGACGCGCGTTCTTGATGTCACTCTTGTTCCTCATCGTGATGCAAGTCTCAGTCATGTCCCGAGTCGACTCACTCTGCAATTTCCCATCATATGGTGACATCTCTGCCGCCCTTTGCATCGTGACTAAAAGCATTTTCTTGGCCCCCACGAGGCTTGCTTCTTTAAATCAGAAATGCCTTAGCAGGTTGCATGCCACGAGATTGTGCATTCATGGAACACGTGGAGCTCCCTTGGATGGAGATGCTCTACTGTTATACGGGGCACATGTCAATGCACATACACTTGCTTTATTCCTACAGGCCCGGTTGATCTGAAATGTTGCAGCCGCTAAGCTGACAGCTGCCGCAGTATTCGTGAGAATGCTAGGCCGACCTACAGGTGTCATCTCATCATCAATGTAGACGTGCTGCCCAGGTGCCGGCGAATGGGAGGGCTATGAGCCTTTCGGCTTAGCGCATGGCGTTCCTATTCGACGGCTTTACCACGCGAGCAATATTTCCGGCTGCCGTCTGGACTTCACCTATGTGATCACACCACCACACCACGCGCATCATACTACGTTGATTTCCGTCTTTGCTCGATCACTCTGATCTGCCCGTCAAGACGTTCAGCTACAGAATCGCTACATTGCTGTTTCTCCAGGCCTGGAGTGCCTGACAGTGCAGATGGCGTCCTAATAGCCGCTGAGGCTGGACACCAACAGCACGTGTGACAGCGCATCACAATGACATCGAATGGGGATTGCGCATTTCGCCTCAAGCGCCCTGGGGAACAGAGCAGGCTCACATCTTGTCTTTGATGGGTTCTCTTCTCGCTCGTCCCTACCCTTTTCGTCTAATCGTTACTGCATTAGGACGCCTGCACGACGCCTCTTGATTGCATCTCTAGAGCACTTTCGACCCCATCGGTTTTCTTAGGATGTGTGCAGCTACATTGATGGACCGAAGTGACATCTTCTGGAACTATTGCTGAGCTCTGAGCAAGTGCGATAGTTCGTATGCGTGTACCCTTGACTACGTTTGCTGTATATCATCTTCAGGATAAAAGGCTCATGTGGTTTCTACCAAGTCACATTCGACGTCCACATGTGGTCTACGAAGGCTGTGATCATCTAATATCCACTAGGAGGCGCTTAGTTGCATATGACAAGAATTTAGTGCTCAGCCTTCCGGATGGAGACGTGAGAGAACCGTAACCGCTTATTGTTTGCAAACGCTGGGTGAGGCTATCAGGTAACCCTTTCCATGACTTCATCCTGCGTACCTTTACTGCGACTTCCAGACTGAGTACAATCACCGCAGTCATGACTATCCGAGCAGTCCTTACGAGTCCAGCCGTCTACACACCTTCACTAAGCCTTGGCAAGGCTCGAGTTTCCTCAACATCTTCGGCGATGTACGTTCCGGAAAACGACCGCTCGCTCTCTACACCAGCTGCCATCGGAATTGGCGTCGGTATTGGTATAATCTGTACCATACTTGTCTTCATTACAGTACTCTTACTACACCGCGCATGGAGACTTCGCCGCACACCACCAATAAAGCAGTACAGGCAAGCCAAGTTGTGGAAGGGCTTTGAGCCGGTCACTCCGAGCACCGCGAGGACTACGTTCGTTGGAACCAAGATGACCAACATATACTTGACGGCGCTACCAACACCGGTCACACCTGCCTTCCTTATGAGCCCACCGTTGCGGGGAGAGGAAGTAGACGTGGAAGAGAGAATTCGACGCTATAGCGAACCTGTATAGTCATGCTGTATACGACGGATGGCTTGTATGCGGTTTCCAATCAAGCTGGCGCAATACGTGAGACGGGGCTATAGCCATGTTGACAGTCTATGCGCGAACTCCATCACATCTCTCAGTGATCGTGTCCAGCAGATCGCGACCCTCCTTACGACCGTTAACGGCAACAACAAGCGCCTCTTACTCGTTGCGGCCTCCATTTACATAGAATCTTGCAGCTGGCTCGTTGAGATCCTGCGCGGTCTCTCAGGCTTCAGTGTCGCCAACTCCTGTCGCGTCGACGAGATTGTTCCCACGCTCTTTGCCCTCAGCGCAAGCACCCTGGACTCCCTACTACAACGCCTCATCGGCGGGGCGCGCAAGGTGGTCATTGAAATGTTTACGCATATCAACAAGCACAGCGTCAGCAGCATCACTGCCCGGCTGCAGGCTCGCGTGTATACATTAGACATGATGGTCTCGCGAAACCTCCCCCGCCGCGATCGTCGCCAGCTACCTCAGAAGAAAGCACAGACGGCTTCTCGTGCAAGTCTGGCGGGAGTTCCAGTCGAGCTATTTAGCATGATTCTACGCCACCTTGCGTGCTGTGACATTCGCTCACTCCGGCAGACGTGCAACAAGGAGCTCGTTCGCAGATGCAAAGACAGCTTCTACAACATTGTCGATCCGACCACCGCTTTCCTCCAGGCGAGTCCCAGATGAGGGAGACACAAGCACATGCTGACTCCGTTTCCGTAGCTTGACGCCGAATTTCCTGCGCGCGCAGTGTCACTAGCAAAGTTTGAGCGGTGGAGCGATCACATCACCACACTACGCCTCAAGGTCCCGAGAACCGCGTTCTTCTACCAGCTGCATCAAGGCGCCGCAGCCGCAGCCGATGGCTATACCTTCTCAGCAATGTCGGGTACGAAAGAGTTCAAGTCTGCGCTCGCGCTATTGACGACCCTTCCTCGATGCAAAGCTGTTCAGATCCAGCACGACACCCCAAGCAGTGGCTGGCTCCTATGCGACTACCAATCCAGTCGACGGGAGGTCCGTGACAAGACCATGGCTGTCCTGGGCGACGCGTTGCGCGAGAATCTGGAGGTATGTTGTATCCGCTGTCTGTACAAGACACGCACTAACACTGAGTAGCATGGTCTTGTCGGCTTCATGCTTTCTTCGCACACGCAATGGTACGAGGAGTACCGCCTATGCTACTTCGAAGAACAAGAGAAGGAGGTAGAGAAGGAGACAGAGGAAGAAGATCCACGCGCAGAGGCTGAGGAAGATGGCCGACCAGCAGAGGTTGAGGAAGATGGCCGACGCATAGAGCTGGAGGAAGAAGGCCGCGGCCATGAAGAGACAGAAGATGCATACGCAGGCCAGTCCCGAGACACGGTTCGTGATGAGTATCGCTCATGTGGGCTTCCTCGGCCTATTCCCAAGAAGAAGGCGGACATTGTGGCGGCTCTGCAGAAGGACGATTTGAGGAGGTTGGAGTAGATGGCCATGCCGTACTAGGACACGCTGCTCATGGCGTTGACGACCTACAACCACTTCTATGCTACACTCGCTCTGGTCCGGGTACACGATCTGTTCCATGTGCATCTTACGGCCTTCCGGACACTGGTATGGTCTGACGCGCGGGGTGGTGTTGGTGGGCCGATCCTTCCTCTTCATCGAAGCGAAGTAAACAATAAGCCGAACGCGGTAAGCTTCGCCTCTCGCACACTGGGATTTCAGATCTGACACCCCGCCGCCATCAGAATTCCCCTCGCCATCACAATGGCATTCGCAGGGAAACGCAACGAGCAAGAGCGCAAGAGACTGGAAAAGACCGACGTGAAGATTTCAGAGAGGGGGCTCTTCAACGTAGACGGTAAGTTCTGGCTGCGCGAAGTGCATGAGATATGTATACTGACTTCGTCCTTCTGCAGCAACCAAGCAGGACGTACTCGACGATATTGAGACGATTCTTCCGCGCCTCTTCCCGAACAGACCAGAGATCGCCCGCTTCTCGGTTGACGCTCGTAGCCATCATGTCGCGCCATTCCGTATCCACGAGCATGACTGCGAGAACGTTCTAACTACGTGGCCGAAGACCGACCCTGCTATGGATCGCTGGTTTCCTGATGCCGTTGAGCAAGCTCCGTACATAGAAGATCCGCACTTCTGGTTAGACCAGCGCGCAGCAAACCATGTTTAGCCGTGTTAGGTCGCATGGCATGGCTGGCGAATAACGCAGACGGCGAACTATGTCGCATCGCATTTTCGCTACTACGTCAATCTTGAAAAAAACACTGAACAGCCTGGAGCCTACATCGACTTTGGGTCACACACTTTGCATATTCTCATCTTGATGTAGTCTCCAGGCCTGTTCAAATTTTTTCTTGCATGAGATGCTATGATCCCACATCCAGAGCTAATGGAGAGATGTCGCGCACATATCATCACACAGGCCCAACACGCTCATGCACTCCACGGAAGGCCGATGGATACTCGCAGACAAAAGAACTCATATCGTTGTCTACGGCGAGAGTCGTGCTCGTGTCGGGTAGCTTTCCACAGGCGTTGTATGACCAGTACCTCAAGCTAAACCACATCAACGCGACTGAGGTCAAACTTGGACACGGCATAGTACGGATCGCATGGCTAGAACACGACGTTCACGGGAAGCTAAGCCGCATCGTTCTCTACATCAACCACCCGGAGTGTTTCAAGAGGTATCGAGCGCACATTACCACGAAGGCCCAACATCGGCAAGCCCTCCGAGAGCGCCTTGTAGATCTGACGATGGTCTACTTCAGGCGGCCGGTCTCTCTGCCCGCCTTCCTGTCCACCACGCAGACCTGGCACCAACACTCGACTGGACAGCTCGTTCCGCTGCGCGTGTTTGCCGACTTCCTCGATGGCGATGGCGACGAGACAGAGCTGAGGACAGCCCTGACGTGGCCACGAACTCCATCTGGCTTCGAGTGCCTCCGCGACTGGCTCCAAGGTCGGTCATTTACCGTTGCAGAGATCTCAAAGATTGCCCTCGTATACAAGGTGCACACCGTCGCCGGTGAGGACTGTCGGAAATTCTTTCAGAGCGCCGAGATGGTTGCGCAGTATGGGCCAAGGGCAGCTACGTTTGAAAAGGCGATGGAGCGTATGTGGGACAAGACCGCGCTGATCGAAGACGACGACGAGGAAGAGGGACCTCCAAGGAAGAGGACCAAAGTGACTGGCGTCAAGGCCGGCCTGTCGAAGGAAGGCTACGATCGCCAGATCTACAAGGTGTTCCAGACGAAGCTCGCCACTGGTGACAACATGGCTAAAGAGAGGCTAGAGAAGAAACGCCAGACAAGTCGTGATTGGCACGCCGCACAGAAGGCGAAGGTCGATGCCATGGATGAGAAGACACCATCCAACGATGCGGTCGACAAGAACAAGAAGTCGACTACGAAGAAGGCACCGAGCAAGTCCCTAGAGTCAGGGCGCCGGTCGAGAGCCCTCCGCGATCTGAAGATCGCACAAGGGGATCCAAAGGCCATAGAGAGCAAGAGAAAGCAGAGGGAGAATCAGGCCAAGTGGACTCAGGCCCAGAAGGACAAGGTCAAGGCGTTTGACTTGCAGCATGCTGAGAATTAGAAGAAAGCGGAGGACGAGAAGAACCAGGAGAAGAACTGAAAGACATGTTGAGTCGCAAGATTTAGCAGATATATGTATGCGCGCCTCTGATGAGTATGACAGAAATAAAGTCACCCTGGAGGTGTTCGCAGTGCTACACATTTGTAGGCTCTCAGCATAAAAGTCAATGTATACCTCAACCTAGACTATGTAATATGATCCGTCAAGACATTCATCTTTGTAGGCATCTAATGTGACATGAAACCCTGTCTTCTTGTTGTCGTACTGCAGATAGCTCCGCTAGGATAGAGCCCACGAAGCGGTAGGCTATCGCGCGACATAGTGCAAAAAGGGGGCGGACGATCCGAGAAGACTTCCCAGATATCACAGGAGTATCTAATTGCGATTACAGAAACTACGCTCTAGATCCGACTCCACTCCAGTGCTGGAATATTGTCATCCCTGCTTGTACTGAGCCTCAGAAGCACGTACAATCTGTGTTAGGGTGGAGGCCATGCTTCGCGCTTCGCAGCAAAGAAGAGCCAAACAAGAGAGCAGGTACCACATCAACGAATGCAGAAAAACAATAACAGAGTATGCAGTAACAAGCCTAGTGTATGCACCTTTCTGTGCAGCGCGAGTAGATGCCCAAAATATTAAAGACAGGCACGAGTGAAGTTTGCCAGAAAAGATAAAATGCTAAAAAGCTTCATGCGTCCTCACGCATTCTTTTCGCAGTGCGCATAGCAGTAAAAAAAAGGACGTAGGGCTTCCGATACCGGGAATCGAACCCGGCTCTTCTCGGTGCTCTCTAGAGGCGTTGAAAGCGAGATATCCTAGCCGATGGACTATATCGGATGATGTGGTTGATGAAGAGTTGAAGTTTTTGAAGATTCAAGTTTCATGGCAAAATCCGGCAAGGGCGCGGCGTTGAGCAAAACGATGCTTTTAGGCGGGGTAACGCCGATGCGCATGTCAGGTACACTAAGCCCCAGTTGCTCGCCTACCATTAGCACACTTGTGGTAGTCTGCTAGCATTGAGAATGCTTGGTCAACTAATATCAGAAACAGGAACAAGATCGTCAGTCTTTACCAACACACTTGGAATCACAGGCACCTGGAGCATTTGTACACGAAGAGAACAGTAGTAAAGTGTGCAACACATATCATTCAGTCAAAGAAGCAATGAGCCAAAGCGACTCAAAGCAAGTAGGTACAAGAAGTGAAGAACACCAAAGTGTTACTTTCCATGATCCATCCTCCAGGATTTTTCCATCACATTTCCTCCTATCGTCATCGCACCATGAACTTAGACGCGGAAAGCGCGGGGGTGGCGGCGAACCTTCTGGCTGGAAGAGCCAGCCTTCTCCTCGAGCCAGGAGATGAAGGTGTCGAGGGTGAACTCCTTGTCGAGGCTGGCGCTGCCGGTCTGAGCAGGGGCGGAAGCAGAGGCAGCGGGAGTAGAGACAGCGGCAACAGCGGCCGAGCTGGTGGCAGCAGGGGCAGATGAGGCAGAGGCAGCAGGAGCAGACGAGGCAGGAGCAGAGGCAGAAGGCTTGGGCGCGGAAGCGTTGCCAGAGCCGGAGCTGGCACCGTCGAACAGAGCGGGACCAGGCATCTCGTAGCTGGACATGTCACCGCCGTAGACGCTGACCTTGATGCCAGGGTCGGTGGCAGTGTAGAGCTTGTTAGCCGGAGTACCCTTGGGGGTAGCGGTACCGGAACCGGTGACCTCGATGTTGATGCACTTGGGGTAGTTCTGGGCACCGTTCTCCTGGCCAGCGGAGTGGAGAGCAATGATCTCGTGACGGAGGACGTATTGACCAGGGGCAATGCTGTCGGGGACGGTCACGGTCCAGGTGTTGTTGTTGGCGATGAGCTTGTCAGAAGCCCACTTGCCGTCCTCGAAGCCAGCAGCGTCGATCTTGAAGAACTCAAGGTCGGTAGACTTGGCCTTGGTGGCATCGTCGACCTTGGCGAGGTAGTCGATGACGGGGCCGACGTGGGACTCGGGCCAGGTGGTCCACGAGATGTCGAGCTTGCCACCAGCGGCGACAGTAGCAACCTTTGCGCCAGCAGTGGCGTCCTTGTGGCAGGCAATCTTGGTGGCATCGTCGTACATGGAGGGGTCGACGAAACCGTTGTCAAGGCACTCCGGGCAGGACCACTCAATGACCTCGGGGGAGGGGGTCTGGTACTGGAAAGACGGGTCGTAGGCAGTGAAGTCCTTGCCGTCAACCTTGATGGCAGAAAGGTGACCGTGGGCGCTGACGGAGGCAGCAAAGGCGCCAAGGATGGCAGCGGCTTGAATCTTGGAAGGCATTGTAGTGTTGGGTGTTGGAAAGTCTGGTTTGGACGAAAGGGTTGGTGTTCAAAAAGTTACTTCGAGATCAACGAAGATAGTAAAGAATGTGAGGCGCTTCAAGCGTGGAAAAATGAACGAAGGTGAAGAGAGCGAATGTCGACTGACTGAATGACTGTGGTGGTGAGGAATCTCTACATGCTGGGCGAGAGGTACTCTTATACTCAGATATTGCCATGTCGGAAATGGCGCATCGCTGTGCATGTGTCAAATGAAAGGAGTGGATGACAGAAAGGGAACCGTTTCCGTTCGTACAATGCTTCAGGGCTGTGGAGCTGGGGTGCTCGATGTTCGCAAGGTGGGCTTGTCACTTGTCATGGCGGTGCTTGTTTCATGGTGTGGCTTCTGATCCTGGCGGTAAACAGAGTATGCTGAGCAGTCCTCGGCCAGGTGTTCCTGATCGACGCAAGGAACATGTCAAAGCGAAACGCAAGAGGGGTTGAACATTGAATAGACGCCAGATACAGCTAGCACGTCATTGCACCGGTGTTTGGATGCAGTGGCTGTACATCTCTGCAGCCGAATTCCCGTACGCACATTACGCTCTTACAATAACTCTTCATTCTTTACTCATGATACCATGTTGTGTACTTGGTGATGGTGCAAAGAGCTTGGGCGCCGAGAATCAACGACTCTTCCCGCCCGCTGCACACTAGAACCATCTCGACTCGCTTAGACCCAGCGCCTCAGAAACGACATCTACGCGTCACCAAATCTCCCACCATCCAGCGGCATAAACGCAACTACGGCAAACCGGCAGACCGCGCTCTACTCCTCACATTCATTAATCTGCAGCAAACCTAGGTATACAGCCGTAGGTCCGATCGTAGCCTCAGCGCCCTTATCTCCGTATGGTCGCTTCCGACTTTCATCGTTTCATGCCATGCCCCCCTGAAAGTGGGTCAACGACAGCGCGCGCCTCCACTACGCATGACAGTTCCAGGCGCTTGGTACCAACGTCTTGATCCATACGAACTACGGTGTGCACTCTGTATTTGCTCTTTCGATCGAGACCAGGTACTGAGACTGGAACACTCCACCGAACTCTCCCACACACCCTTCGCAAATTACACTACATCGTAACAAACTTCACGACATGTTCCTGCCTCCATTGGTGCCTGAACGCCAGTACCTGTTTCTGCGCCTCAATCAATGCCGCCCGGAGAAACTCCACTGGTGTTTTATGTTGTCCGGGTGGGTCTCTGCTCTCTATGCGTTTCAATGTCGCTTCCATGCCACACGGGCCTTCATTTCGGGCCAAGAAACTTTAGCAGCCGGCAACCGAAAACAAGCAACGGCTAAAGCGACGGTACAGCTGGCCAAGGCTCGCTTCCTACCGGAGACCCGGTGTTCATCTGTCAAGGTGTGAAGGGTGTAACACGCCTATGCACAGCGTTTACTAAACATCATTTTTGCACACATCGCGATCCAAGAATAATACCGCTGAACAGATAAAAGTTGTCATTGCACTCCCGCCGCACGACAATGCTGCATTGAAAAGGAAACTGGCAGCCCATGTCATGACCCTATTGGAAACGCCGAAAGTCACCCTCTAGTCATACATGTCGTTACAATACACTAGTTCCACCGAACGCCCCATAAACCGTTCACATGCCCTTAAGACGAGTAGCGCCATGTCTCAACTCCATGGACATTCGTCGTAGGCTGCAGAGGCGGCAGCACTGGCTTCTGATCCCTTGGTACAGCTACAAGACCGCCTTTGCCGTCATCACTGATGGGGCTAGGTGTTGGTCTTTGTGGCTCGCGTGGTGGTGGTCCTGGTGGGGTTTGAATTTGCGAAGCTTGCATGCTCCTAGGCAGGTCGTACGATAGACTGGAGCGGGGCCCCGAGGGAGGGTAGCGAGGCTGTGGCGCCTGTGGCGAGTGCGCAGTCATGGATGGCGTCCCTGTGGGGCCTGTCGATGTAGCGAGCTGCTTAAGCATCTGTTCCCACTTTGGCGCCTCGGGAGTCTGCGTCGTCCTTGCCATTTCTCGTTGAAAAGCATCCTGAGACTGGAATTGTGCGGATGGCCTTGGTGCAGGTAGACCTGTTGGCGGCGGTGGTCCGTAATATCCAGGAGAAGGCGCGGCTCCGTGTGACGCGATAGGCCTTGGTGCGATGGAAGTAGGTGTACCACTGGTTCTCGGCGTAGGCTGCTTTGGCATCCATTCCGGTGCAATTCCACCATCCAGACTATAGGGTGATATGTAAGTTTTTGTCCTCCGCAAATAACAGTTTCTGAGGTAGGGATAATTCATGACGTAGGATAAGTACTCAGTGGGGGATTGGGCAGCATAGATGATTTCAGAGGAGGGTGTGACGGCGTACATTGGAGGTTTAGGAGTCCCAGTAGGGTTGCTCAGCATGTTTGAGATCGACGCGCGACCGTGTGGTGATGCCTGGCTTTGATGGCTTGGTGGGCCATAAGGTGAAGCAGCAATCTGTCCCGCGCCTGGTGAGTATGGTGAGGGTGGCAACTGACGAGGACTCTGAGAGTATGGGTATGGCGGTAGAGCGTTATTCTGTGCCGGTTGCGCATACTTGTCAATTCCATTGAGCAGAGGCACAGATGTTCCTGGCTGTGTTTTCCAGGACGCATTAGAGTAGCTCTGTGGCGGCACATATGGCTGATACTGCTGTTGCTGCTGCGAAGGGTGC